TTTTTATTCTTAAAAATGATTTTTTTATTAATTTTCATTTTAAAAATGATTTATTATTAATTTGTCAATCATTTTGTTTTTTTTTTAAATAATTTATAATATATTTTTAGTTGAATTGTTATTCATTTATCGTATTTGTTAATCTATTTCAAGTGTTATTATAGAGTCATATCTCCCGAATTGGGCAAATCTAATTGCGATGACACCGGTCGTCGCTCTAATAGCAACATTATTTGTGGTTATGGCACCGATACTAGCAATGTCTATAATCGTGCTATTGATAGTGGTGTTGTACGTGGTCGTGATGCTACTAGTACCGTTGTCTAAGATCGTCGATAGTGGCATCGGCATGTCCGCATCCTCGCTAGTAGTACCCTCACTAGTAGTGTCCCCAACTATAGAGGTCCCCTTGATAGTTTCCTTAACTTTAGGAACCTCTACTAGATTTGATACTAGACAAATCGTTCGAATCGTTAATAACTCGGTAAGTAATATGCTTTACATATGATAATTATTTTTATATTTTTATATATTATATTGAAATTATTAATTCACTTATTTATTATTTATTTTTTTTGTTTGGTAACCTAGTTCCATCAAGTAAGTGCTTCACAAAAATTATCGTAATTTTTAAGGAGCGATTGAGCCTTGCTAGCTCCATATGGGATTTTGTCTCCATAGAGATGAAAAACTTCTACTTTAATAAGTTTATGATAATATATTAATTATTTATTTGTGTATCATTTAAAGTTTTAATTTAACATGAAATATACTAATATTATTTTTTCTTTATATAGAAGTACTTTTTATGAGATGTGGGTGTCGATGCATTAATTAAGGATGAGTGGGAGAGTCCGGCATGAAGGAGATATCGATTACATACCGAACATGCTAAAGAAAAAAACTAACAAACCAATGTTTATTACACAATAGGTACAGGATACTTGGGATCGAAATTAGGCCACAAGTGAGTTTTAGGCCCGATCTCTCGCATGCATCCCAAAACCATATGTTGGAGATGAATGGTGTTTGTGCTAGCTCATTCGGACATACAAGGGGTCCATCTCTTTAATTGAGCACACCGAATGTTTAATAAATCCTATTATCTATTGTTTTACAAAAATTAATTTTTATATTTATTGCATCTCATATTATTTTATCTTTTTTTCAGCATAACACATTGGGTCATAACCAAAATCCTTATGAGGTGTTCTTGAACACTCATAATATGAAAGATGGGTCATTCATCGATAGGCGATCTTAGACAATAATGATAATTTTTTTTACTTTTAAATATATATCTATCAATATAATCTAAAAACATATTTATAATTTAATATTATAATTATTTCAATGACATAATTGTGCTTGTAGTCATTGTAAGAAGTAATGACTAAGAAGCGAGTGGCTAAGAAGCAACAAGAGGGTGATTCATCGTCTTTAAACATCGAAATGACCAAGATATATTTCGATGTCAGTAGGAGAGGAGAAAAAGTAAATAGTGTACCATCTCAAATCACAAGCGTCTTAGTATTACTCCTATTTTTACGTCAACTCCTTCTCCGACACTTTGTAGTATCTTAGTGGTCATATTAACGGAGTTAATACTAGTTGGAAGATAAGATTAAGAGGATAGAGATTACCATCTAGCAAAATGAGGTAAATTCAACTCTCTATAGGGCTCGATGGAGATAGTGATAAGTTTGTTACGGGACATACATCGGACTTGTATCCCTCCTACCGACCCTCACAACCCAAGTGTCGGTTGTTCATCTTAATATCTAATAGTTGGAGGATGATGCAGGAGATGATGATAATGAAGAGGATTAGATTTTTTTAAGGTTTTTAATATGTTTATACACATTAATACATTTATATATTTATTTAATTTCAATTTATATTATTTTAATTTTATTAAATAATATATCATTTTTAATAATGTGTTATTTTTAGTTATTTGCTACTACCATTAACATTAAACGATTATTAATTTATTCATTTTTATAATGATGTATTAGTGATCAAATTAACAACAAAAATTAAACGTCTTGATGACAAACACGTATACGAGTTACTAAATAGCAATGGATTTGCAAGGAATTCTAGCGAGTGTAATTTAGTGATGGTTGTTCTATTGCTAGTTAGCGACTAAAATAAGAGAATAATGATGGTTTTGCAACATATACTAGACCCGAAAAATAACTATTTACTTTAATTTAGCGATGAAAATTTTTTTTGGTCATTACAAAAATAATGACGACTATTTTAAATAGCAATAGATATTGATGATTTAGTGATGGAAAAGTTTATCGCTATTTTCCAGTTTTCTTATAATGGATGTGATTGAGATTTTATTTTTATATTATCTAGAACGAATGCCAATCTCGATGTGAATTTGATCGTGTAAATATTTGAATGTTTGTTTGAATTTATGTTTCCATATGATGCTTGATATTTTCTAGGTTTAGATGTCGTTATCGACTTAATCTTTACAATGCCATTGTCGATCCACTCGTTTTAAATTTTAATTAGTGATATTGTTGTCACTTTACTCTATCAAATCAATCATTGTGATGTCTGTTATCGATTCACTATCTTTTCAAACTCTAGTTTTAGATGTCATTATCAACATAATCTCTATGATGTTGGTATCGATTTGTAATCTTTCTAAACCCTAAGTTTAGATGTCATTATCGACATAATCTCCATAATGTCATTATTAGTTCTCCATCTTTTAAAACCTTAAGTTTAGATATTGTTATCGAAATAATGTCCGCGTAGTCATTATCGGTTCACCATCTTTTTAAACCTAGGTTTAGATGTCTCATTATCGATATAGTTTCAGCAAGGCTTTTATTGGTTTGCTATCTTTCCAATTTTAATAAGCGATGTCATTGTCAATTTGCTCAATCTTATCAATTTTTGAGATGTCGTTGTTGGTTCACCATCTTTTCTATTTTAATTCACGATTCTATTGTCGAGTCACTCAATCAAATCAATTTGTATGATGCCGTTCTCAATTCGTCATCTTTTCAACTTTAATTTACAATGCTCGTTGTTGATTCTCCATCTTAAGGGTGTTTGTTCGGTTGTTGATTCACCATCTTTTCTATTTTAATTCACGATTCTATTGTCGAGTCGCTCAATCAAATCAATTTTTATGATGTTGTTCTCAATTCACCATCTTTTCAACTTTAATTTACAATGTCGTTGTTGATTCTCCATCTTAAGGGTGTTCGTTCGGTTATTTGATTTGGTTTCGAAATTTTTCGAACAGTTTTTGGTTAATCGAATTTTTCAAAAGAAAAAAAACCAAAATCAAAACGAATTGTTATTCGGTTTTTCAGTTTGACTTTGAAATATAGCGATTTTGATATTCGATAATTCGGTTTTTACTTATAATTATCTATACTTTTAAAGAGAGCATGCACTTTCTAACAAATTAACACTTCTTACTAATGTTGAATGTCCCATAAAAAAACTATAGTATATGGCACAATTGTAGGAATCAAAAGCATTATAGACTTATATTTGTTACTAAAAGGAAAGCCTTAAACATGCAGCATGCCCACCATTGGGACCATTCTCTGCTCAATGATTACTGACTTACTGTCCAAATATTGGATTATCTGATGTCGACCATGAGGCTTTTACAAATTTGGTTGAATCAGAAATTTAGTAAACTTTGACCAACAATTTTGAAATTGAATAAGTAATATTTGAATTCTCATAGAATTTTCTAACTTTTCAAGTTTTGGGTAGAAACTCATGAGATTTTCAATATAATCATAATTTTGGATTCTCAGCCTCTGACATACTTTGAAAATTTCATGAAATTACAGAAGAGTAATAAAACAGGCTTCGATTTCTTTATAAAAACAGAAGGCTAGAGATAACATGTGCAAAAAGAGAAAGAGATGTCATATGAACCAAAATAAGAGAGGCTAATTCCTTTCTTAAGGAACAAAGATTAAATCAGGCTTTTGTTTAATAGAGAAATGTGAGAGCTAACAGAGAAAAAGTTATTCAATTGAACCATGAGAAGAGAATTGATCAGAATTCAGAGCCCCCACACATGAATAAGAAAAAACTGGACTTCTACATTTTTGTACAAAAAGGAAGCTGTACAAACTCTGCAAAATATTTGCTTGATTCTTTTCATTAAAAAAAAAAGTCAGATTAAAATTTTGTGCAGAAATAAGGTTGAAGTTTGACTGAGAAATAAGATGAGTCTGAAAACAACAACAAAAGTGATCTCATCAATGAGTAAGATGTGTTTGTAATAACATTTTGTATGCACAACATTTGTTTTAAATGAGGTGACTTGTTCTTCAAATCCCAACTTATGATATTGAAATTCTTCAATGAAACAGAAACCTTGAGAGTAACTGACTATAGTATAAACCATCATTTTTTCTATTTCATATCTAATTTTTCAAACACTAACAGAAACATAAATTTGTACATATTGATTTTCATGCATGGTTAATTTAAGATAGAATACATATTGAAGTTTTTGTAAAACTAACTACAAAAAGTTGCGCAGTCACAGATAAGAAAAGGCAGCAGTTGTGCCAATGATCAACGCTACTATGCAATAGCAACATTACACTTGTCAACCGAACACATGAGATATCAAGATATTTACCAAGTACCTTAATCAACCCTGGGTCTAACTAGCGTTATTTTCCATCTAAATACAAACCATAATTAACACATTCTAGCATTTTACTATTTGATCCTTGAGATAAGCTATTGTGCAATGACAGATGCTATTTATTCACAAAGTTAATGTCACTTGCATGAACGCAAAACCAGTCTAGCAACTTATTCACAAAGTTCAGAGTTATGTAGTTTTGATGGGCAGAAGAGAACATAATACATGCTACACTACACCAACCTCTTCATCTTAGTCCAGATAGGTATATTCAAGCTAAATGGATTAATTCAAACACATAGCTGCTGCTAGCTCATAAGCCAGAATAAGACACTAGACAGTCTTACATGCCATTAAGCCTCTCTGGGACAGTTATAAGAGCTTGGGTGCCAAGATGTCCATCTTCATTTGCCACCATCCCAGCGAACAACTGCTTACCTAAAGCAGCACCAGGCAAGATAGGCACCCTCTCATCCACACTTTCCTCCATAACATCCACACGCATTCCCATATCTTTCACCATATACCCAGCAAACCCACCAGCCCTAAAATCCCTCTCAATCATTCTTTCCCCAACACAACTCCATCACCATAGTCCATAGACCCCTCACCCCGTCGCCCCTGTCCTCACTGAATCCACAAAATTCCTCGCATCCAAACCAGCTTTCTCAGCTAAAACCAACCCTTCACTCAAACCCAACAAATTAGCACCCACTACAATCTGGGTGAGGACTAAGGAGGAGGAAGAAAGTGGGTAAGTGAAGGGGGGAGGGGATGTGGGCATGTGGCTGACAATTTAAGGATTGCAATTTGGGAGAGGTTTAGCCGTTTTAGGGATTCCACATTTGCATTGGCCAGTGGGCACTAGTAGCGAGGGAGGAGGAAGAAGGTGGGTAACGAAGTAAGTGAAGACTGAAGAGGGATGATTTGGTGATTGCGATTTAGAATTGGGGGAGGTTTAGTTTTAGCTATTTTAGAAATTGGCGTGAGGGAAGCTAGAACTTGGAAGTGATGAGTGACAGTGCGATAAGTGTTCCTGTGTTGGCTTAAAAAATTAAAATAAATATATATATATATTTTAATAATTTTAGTTATTTGGTTTAGTGGATTTTTTAAAATAAATAAATCGAACCCTAAACCGAAAATGGAAAGTATTTCAATTTTTTTTTTTAAATTATATCGAAATTGATATTTCAATACTGGTTCGATTCAATTATTTAGTTTTTATCAAATAATGAATACCTTGCTTCATCTTCTTAAATCCTAATTTACGATGTTGGCATTAGTTTATTTATTTTGTTAAAATCATTTTTATTAAGTTGTTTTTAATTCATTCAAAACTCCTAGCTTAAAACTTGTTTTTCTCGTACGATAAGATTTTTGACCGGCTAAATCTCGAATTTACTGGATCGTTTTTAATTTAGCGGCAAATACATTTAAGCAAGCACATTCTTTTATTATATCTTAAACCAAAAATCATACTATATTTTACATATATACATCTAGTCTTAGGTGAGACACCCATTTAAGTTGGCACATACTTTTACTATTCCGAAACCAAAAATCATGCTAGACTTTACATCTTTTCTACAAGTAAACTAATCTTTTATCTTAGAACGAAGATTTTTTTTTTTTTTTTTCCCCTTTCTTTCTGATTTTGAGCTCATAGTTCCCGATGTTCAATGCTGCGGAGGAAAAGACAGAATTTCAGTAAAATTTTCAATTACTAAAATGGCATTCCTATCCCATTTGGCCTTTTCCTTTCTAATGAAGCGGTACTTGTTAAAGTAACAAACAAGTATCCAAACTCTCGAACAAACAAGGATCCAAAATAGAAAACAACAGTAACAATCAGATGAAAGAATATTAAAATTGAGTTTCTGCTACTTGTCACCGACTAAACACTCTTTGTCTCAAAACCCGCCAGATCACACACAGACACACACCCTCAGGAAATGAACATATGTCAGAGACAGAGAGTACACAATATTCGTACTTTCATTTAATAGCACTGTCAGGAAAACCCTCCCATCAATCCATCTGCTGAACATTGCTGTAAATGGTAGCTGTACAGTGCCTTACAACAAGGCTTTATTACCAAGGCTATATTACCAATCAAAATCTTATCAGAAGCCATGTGCTCTTGCATAACGAAAACGAAAAAGCAGAAGACTGTATAGCTGTTCTACTAGAACAAGTACAACGCTGATCCATGAAAGGAGCAGTACAGTGCCCAACTGTAAGGCTTTATTACAAATTTAAGAGCATTTTATGTGTGTACTCTTAGTATAATGAAACCTGAAAGAAAACACGTAAACCTAGAGCAAAGTAGCAATGGAGCAGAAGAAAACTATAACTGAAATGCATTTTATAGGCGAACGTGATATAGAATAGTTGTCTTGAGGTTGATACCCATAAGGATAGGGAGGGGGTTGATATCCATAAGCATAGGGAGGGGGTTGCTGGCCGCACTGAACTGGAACTGGTGGACAATTGGCCTGAGATGGCGGTGAAAGGTAGCCAGGAAGTGGAGGAGGTGGAGTCCCATATAATGGATGTTCTGGAACTGGTGGGGCAGGTGGTGGAACTTGAGGTTGGCATGGATATTGGCATAATGTGCAATTAGTACAATCAGTCGAGACATCTTTGGAAACTTTTCTGGTTTCTGCATAATCTAGATTGGAGACCGACAGCCACAGCGCTACAAGGACAGCAAAACTTGTCTGCGACATTTCTTTCGCCACCATAAACCGCAGTTCTATGAACTATTGGGCATAAAAAATATGGTGGTGCTGAAGAGAGCTCTACAACTCTGCTGGGATTTATAACCATGGGCTATCCACTGTGGTTTGGATCATTCGCACCATTTTCTTCTTCTGTATTCCGCCTTTTGTGCCGCATGGCAGACCACCTGTCATATTTCGGCAGAGGTGGTCTACATTTGCACACATCCACACATGGGGAGACTAGGGAGAGGGTGTATTCACAAATGTATGCGTACTATCACATCCACGTAATACACACATGTTGCGTATATACTATGGATCCAGTTATTGAATCAATTTTGTTGGGAGGAAAACAAGTTTCAATAATTTTTTTTTTCAGTATTTATTTTGTGTTTAGGAAAAAAATTAATAAAAAATAACTTTCAATCAACGAAAAATAATAGAGTATTTTTGAAAAACTATTTTTTCAGTTTAAAAAAAGAAAAACATTTTTTTTCCCACGAGCGGTCTCGCTCTCGCGTTACTTACTTCTTTTTCGATATATTTAAAAAAAATTTCTATCTTTTTTTATATAAAATATATCAAATTAATTTTTAATCATTCCTTATCAATTATTATTTATTATTTAATTATTTTTCTCTATTTCTACTGATATTTGATTTTTTTATTTATAGATACATTAAATATTCTTAAAAATCATTTTTACACCTTAAAATTATTTTTATGATAAATATTTCAATAATTTATCTTTATTTTTTTACTATTATCTTAAACACCACTTACACTATACTTAAATGATTGAAATGATTATTACAAACTCGTAATTTTTTGTAAAAAAAATTGAAATTAATTAATTTGTTAATAAATACATTATTTTTTTAACACTATTCATTTGTAACTAAATCAATAATTTGTAATTTTAATCGGTTGTAAGATTTTATTGATAATTGTAGTGAGCAATTAGTTACAAATTATTTCAACATTAATCTTTTGAAACCAAATGAATAATTATCTACAAATAATAACTAATAATTTATAAAATTATTTTTTAGACTAAATTATCGAGTTCAATTTCAAAAAAAGAAAAATTTCTTAATTGAGTTACCAAAATAACAATGCTAGGGTTACTTAGAATTTTTTTATTTGTTAAATGTAAATATACACTTGATTTTTTCCTAAGTAATTTTGATGAATTGGTTTGACGGTTAAAAAGGTATATTTTATTTTTTTGAATTAAAAATTTAGAGTCGGTATTTATGAAAATTTATTAAATTTTTTCAAATGTATCTTATATTGTGAAATTATGAATATGGCTTTTTGAAGTTTTCTCAAAACTTATTGATGTAACAATCATTTACTTGTTTTTATATTTTAATTTATCGTATCAAACAAACGTCGAAATATATTTTTCAGTAGTTTTTCTATATAATTGCCAAATGGCGAGAAAATATTTTTTGAAAAATAATTTCTTGAAAAATAGCTTTCTCAAGAATTGATTTTCCCATGAAAGTTGTTTTCTCGCTAAACAAACAGAGCCTTGAAATAATCCATGAACAATTAAATTAAACAAAAAAATGATTATTGCGAAACTAAAAAGAAATTTTTTTTTTAGACATATATGTATTTTTTTCATGTAATGTTACTAAGTAGAGTAATACATAGGAAAGGAAAAATATAAAGTTTTTTCTTTGATTGCTACAGAAAATAAAAAGTTAATAACTGTAGAGGTCTCACGATTCTGTATATCATCTTTTATCTTAATTTTTTCTCTTGCGTTTGGGTTATGCCTTAATCATATCCTTCTCTTAACATTTTGACTTAACAATTTTAAATCATAATGTTAGCATTATAAGATTGTAGCATGTATATATAAACTTTTTTTTTATCAATTTTTAATAAATAAATTTTGAAAAAAAAATCTATATAAATACTCAAAAACCCGAAATTAAACCCCAACTAACTTTCATATTTATTTATTGCTAGAAATTAATTTTCATATATTTTTATTTAGATTTCAAAATTTTTTTTTCATTTATTTTATAGAGACAAAAAAATGAATAAATGTTGTTGTTTTTAAAAGGCAATCTAAATACTCGAAAACCCCAATTCAGACCCAATTAATTTTTATATTTATTTATTGCTAGAGATTAATTTTCATATAAATTTAATTTAAATTACAAATTTTTTTCATTTATTTTATAAGAAAAAAATGATTAAATTTTGTTTTTAATTTTTTTATTGATTTATGCTAGTTTTTATATGTTCTTATTTTTATTTTTCTAGATGATTGTTTATTTTATTTAAAAGAAAGAGAAAAAAGAGGAAATTTTATGTAAAAAATTATAAAATCTCAAACACATAAAATCAAAACTTTTATGAAAATTAAATTGAAGAAATAAAAATATAGATTTTAATGGGTTTGAATTGGGGGTTTTCAAAGTATTTATATAGATTTTTTATAATTTTTTTCTAAAATTTATTTATTAAAATTTGATTTAAAAAATTGACACATGTCATAATTCTATTGTGCTAATACTGTGATTTAACACCGTTAGCCCAAAATGTTAACGAAAAAACATGATTAAGACAAAAACCAAACGTTAAGGAATGATATCAAGACAAAAAAGGATAGATGAACATGATACGAAATAAAGAGTAGATGGTTCGTGCAACCATTAACCTAGAAAAGAAAGCAATGATTTTTTATGCACAAAATATTAGGGTTCTCTCTAAATTGATTTCTTGGTACTACGATCACGAGAGAATTGTAGTGTTCAAGATGGTGAGTATTGAAAACCTAGAGATTTTATAGAGTTTAGATTTTTATGGTGAGAAAAATTTAGTCGGAGAGATAACTTATATTATCTTCAATATTTTTACTTCTTATGTTCACATTAAGACTAAAAAGAATAAAGCAACATGATCAAGGAAAAATAAAGAGTAGAAAGAACGCTCAACCATGAACCCATTAAAAAAAGTAAGGATTTTTTACGTGCAAAATATTATAATTCTCTCTAGAATTGATATTTAAATACTATGATCACAAAAATTTATAGCGTTCAAAGTGATCTCACACGAGTATTAGACTTTGTAAAAACAATAAGATTTAACGGATTTAAAGTTTTCATGGTAAAACGAATTTAGCTAGAGAACTTATACTAATTATATTTTTACTTTTTAAGTTCACAAAGAACCTTTAATGATTTTATTATCTATTATTATTATTATGGATAATTTCCAAATTAGTTCTATGATTTTTTTTTTTTACAATATAATAAAATCACATGTAAATTTAGTATTTATGTGATTATGCTCTTATAATTAATTTATTTTATACTCTTAATTATTGTATGTGTTTAACTCAATTATTTTTTTACGGAAGAGTGAGATTAACTTCTCAAAATGTCCGTTTATGACACTAAAGAACAACTTCACTAAGGCTCCGTTTGTTTGGCGAAAAACAACTTTCGGTAGAAAAATCAATTCTGGAAAAGCTATTTTCTAGGAAGTTGTTTTCCAAGAAAATATTTTTTGACGTTTGGCAATTATATGAGAATACGGTTGGAAAATATTTTTTAGTATTTGTTTGATACGGAAAATTGAAATGCAAAAACGGACTATGATTGTTATATCAACGAGTTTTAAAAGAATTTCAACAAGACATATTGACAATCTTATAGTATAAAAATTATTAAAAAATCTCACATCCATATATATATATATATATATATATATATATATATATATATATATATATATATATATATATATTTATGATTACAAACCCACCATGTACTTTTTCAAGTTTTAGTTTTAACATGAGAAAAGAAATAACATTAATCTTTTCGAAAATTTTTATATTAAAATTCATAAATTTAAACTAACAAATAATAATGTAATATTTGTAATTGAAATAACACTACTTATAATTTTTTTAAATTTTTTTTTGATAAGATGAATTTTAATATAATTATAAAGGATAAAAAATTGATTTGAAATTTTTTAATATGACAACTCGAAACATAAAAAATATAATATAATTATTTATAAAAAATATCATATAATAAAATTATAATGAAAAAATTGGTTGTATAAATAAAATAAATAGTTCTTTCAATTTTATCAATTTGACTCATAATTCCTCACAATCCAAAAGTCGAATCTCATCTATGCATCACAACAACTTGTACACCAGGAAACATCCATAATTAAAATATCTTACATCAATAATAATAGCTATAATGGTAGTCGTAAAGATCCAACATCCAAAAAACATAAAAACCGTCTATAAAATTCATGCTCTTACAAATTCAAATATATAATAGGAAAGTCACACATAACAATATGTAGATGATCCACCATGGTCATTGATAAACTTTCCAATCCAAAGCTTTATATATTTTTCATTTCTTGACATAAAAGCCTTTGCCAACCTTTCATTTTGCACAAAGTAATCAAACACGTTATTCAATATGCCATCATCAAAATCAGTAATCTTCATCACCATATCATAAAGCCCATCTATATCAACTTCATTTTTGGGTAAAGCATGAATTGCTTTGGCCACTTCTCTCACTTCCACAACTAAAACGAGATGTAATTGATTATTCGAGTTTCACGACCTCTTATTCGGTGACTTCTCTTTCCGAAATCATACTAGTTGACGATGATTCTTTTACTTTGCCTATGTCAACTTCATCCGGTGTCTGTAGATTCCATTTCAAAAGTCTCGACCAAGTTAATATCATTAAAGGACTTGGCAAAACTTTCTATGGTCATATCTTGTCCAAGCACTAATTGCCATCTCATTATACGTCTCAATTTTCTTGTTCAAGTATTTCTCGTTGTTAGGATGTGCCTTTATGTTTAAAGAAATTAGAAAACATCTTATAAATATAAAAAAAACAAGTTGAGACATTGAAAAAATATATATATTACCGTTATCTCTTCATCATAAATTTGTTTTGAGACAGCTTATCATTTTCAACTCATCATTCCATCCAAAACCACTTTTCTCTTGCAATTGGTCGATAATCTTCCATTCTTTTTTTATTGTCCTCAAATGATTTTTAACATGATCAAGCGAACAATCTAATCTAAATTTCAAATTGATTTCTCTTGCTACACGTGCAAAGCTATTTTGTTTGAAAATGGAAGAAGGTTTATTCCCTTTCACAATCTCCTCGGCCAAAATCTCAAGCAACATATGAGACATAGTTTTTATCCACCTAAATTGTTTGGCTTTAGCTTTTTCTTGCTTTGTGTTTCTCATTTCTACAAGCATTGCCAATAAACAGAATTTCAAAAAATAAAAACAAGTGAAATAGTCAAATAACATCATCACTCATTCAATAAACTCCAAATGACAAAAAAAAATTTGTTAAAATTGTAACATGTATACGGTAGGATGATAACTCAAAATATTTAGCAATTATAATTTAAAAACTAAACTGTTAGGGGTGGCATCGGCTTTTATTTCAAAACTTGGCTAATTAAGGCACATAAGGTGATAAGCTTTAGTCAACGGCAAAGTAATCGCAACAAAAGCAAAACTCAAAATGGGTTTCATCATATATATTAATTTTCATTTTTATTGAATAAATAAAGAAATAATGCATGTCCGTACAACAAATTTAATGCTTAAATCTCTCTAAAATACTATTATTTTAATAGTCTTAGTGAAGTCCAACTATTAGTACACCTTTCTAAAATCCTTTTTTTGTGTCTTATTAACTTGCTTGAAGAGCTTAAACCCATCACTCACATTATATACATGCATGAAAAAGAAAAAGGATCACAAAGTGGATAGAATATATTAAAATGAAGATGCATAATGTGGACTCAATTTAGTTTCTTAAATGAATTTTATTCAATATGAAAAACAACAAAATACGTTAGTACATAGAGAATTACAGACTTTGCATATCCATTTTTTAGGAAGCTTCCTTCTTCGTACGTAGGTTAAAAGCAAAAAAATCATTGCTAAGTTTATAACTTAACCAAATGCTTAGAACTAGAGATTTCCATTTGGAGCTCTAGGACGAAAACAATTCCGTTGGATTTTCCAAAAGACAATGGTTAACTAAAATTAAGCTTAAACTCGTGTATTTTCAACTATAAAGGACTAAGTTATAAATGTTTTCGGACTCATGAACTAAAGAGTAATTTACTCTTTCTCTAAACTGGCCACCATATGGGAAATTGTTTAAAATGACTTTATAACAATGTTTGATTTTCATGAAATTGAGTTGAATATTTTTGGTAAAATTTATGTGCGGTAGCAAATTTTGAACTAGTATAACTTTATAAATTTGAGCTTTATAATTCAATCTCTTGCTCCATTCTATAAGAGATTAAAGGAAAGCCTACAGCTAGCAATGAGTAAGCTTTTATTTATTCTCATAATTAAAACCTCCTTTTGGTTGTCTTGACAATTGATACTTTGGTTGCGTTTGTGTTAGGGAGAACAGAGCTTTCCCTTGGAATTTTAAGACCCAACGAGAATTCATAATGAAAATTAAAGCCCCCATAAAAAGTAAAAGTAACAATAATAATAATCATACACAACATTCACGCCAAAAGGAAAAAAACAAGAAAAGGAAACTTCTAATGAAATTTCTAGAGCCAAATAGAAAAAACTTTCAGGAAACCCCAAAGTCCTGCTTCAAAGATGAAGTAAACAACAAAATACAACCGCAATGCCTCTCAAATTATCGGACATTCAATCCTTACAATGTCACCATAGTTCATCACCAAAACATTACACACTCGAAGAGGATGAAACCTATATTTGTGAAAAAAAAAGGAAGAAAAAAGAGAGCGAGTATATGATTTAATGAATGTAACTATGCAAAATGTATGTAACATTTGACTTGAGACCTACGAAGATAATGAAAACCAAAAAAAAAAAAAAGTTTAGTAGGGTAAGTCCGATATTATGATAAACTAATACATACATTATGATAAACTAATACGGACATGAATAATAATAATAAAAAGCGAGAAAAAATCTAGAATGAAATGCGGGTCTTCCGTTGTGCGGCACCTAGGTGGTCTTCAACTTCAACAAAATTTTGACACGACACATCGTAGAAATGCATCCCAACAACCTAAGGTACTTCAAAGACGATAACCAAGGTAGTAGGGTAAGTCTAACAAGAAGAGGTTAACCATTTTAAGGAAGAACAAACGACCAATGATCGTATGTTGAGTCGACTTGTATTTACTCGATAAATCAAAAGTGGCCTCTCCCCCATTTCCACTAATTCTATGCTCTATATTCATAATTTATTCGACTTTTTTGATAGACCACTTTCACCATATCTTCAAAGCAATCCCACCCACTTCTCCTCCATGACGGAATCGAGAACCCAAACTCACTGTGTTGATGCGAGAGTTAGTGACATACTAAAGATCGATGACTTCCATTGTTTGAAAATAGCAGACAACTAATGACCCGACGAAATACAACCCCGGACCCCAACTCAATACACCCAAATGCATACGGGGACTTTTAAAAGGAAAGAACATGCCGAATAACAATAACCTCAAACGAAACGGCACGAATGATGGCCAACTTGGCCCATTCGGCGGATTCTTTAATCATATGGTCATCGGAAGACAAACATTCAATTAAAAAGTCTTTGCTAGAAAGAGATTACTATATCAAAGAACCAGCATCACTTCTCGGTGTTGTCTTGACAATTGATACTTTGTCGGCAATAGCAAGTAATAAAAGAAAGAAGGGCACTTTTATTGATTTTCACGTGGCTAATGATTATTAACTCAAATAATTAATTTTGAAGCACAACGAGATAGTGATGTATGTTGAAACTTTGTGATGCCAATAGGAAGTAAGAAAGACTAGATACATTAAATTGCTAATGATAATCAAGCATTCATATTCATAACTCAAACATGTTTTTGAATTTCTCATTTGCGGCCATAAGCTCTATGGCTATTCATGGTTCCTTATGTAACGACCCTAACTCACATACTATTTCCAAATAAGAGTGGCTAGGTTCGTTACATTATTAAGTCTAAAATCCCGACTAGTTCCTTATAATACATAACCAAAATTAAAGAAAATAGTAAGTAATGGAATACGTATAATAAAATTTATGTGGTATTAATAATCATAGTCACGGGGATTAAAAAATGTCTATGATGCCGACTACCCATAAATAGGAGAACAATAACACTTATCTATAACCCTTCAAAAGATTTCTATAATTTTGGGTAGCACTCGAGCTCTTTTAGTGAGAACCGACTGACTTCCTCGACGGAACTAACTATCTTTGTCTCTACCTATTACACCACGGAATAACAACAACAATATGAGCCAAAGCTCGGTAAGTAGGATAATGCATGTGATATGCAATGATTTCTTACTACCCCGAATTCATCCATTAATTTTAGTTACGGTACCTTAGGTATTAGCAAGTCCATATCATTTCCATCTCTCGATGATTGCCTTATCACCTACTGCTAACAACGGAATTATCCATCGTTGTAGCACATGATTAGCAAAATTATCCATCGCCTAACTGTGTAATTAAGTAATAGAGCATGCACATAGCTTCATTGCTAATACCCATTTAACCCGAGTTTCGGTTACCAAACCTTATCGATTTTCAACCATCTAACTTTTCAATCTACCCATAAATGCGAGTGATGCACAATGATGTTTCATTTACCATATTCTTCAAGTTATAGGTACCAAACCCTACATACTCAAACCATTCTTGAAATTCAACCCACATATAGAAACACCTATATGTCTCATATACCTTACATAAATATTTATTTAAGGAAATCAATTACCACCGAATATAATTAATTAATCAATATAATTCACTCCTTTAATAAGTATCTTCTCTTCATATAATTAATAAGTAATACCATTGATTTCATCCTATAATTTTGATACCACTTAGCTTACATACATATTAATCATAGGGACCAATTGAATAAACATTTAAGATGTAATTCCTTACTCTAACCCGAATTTGACCTTAATGGTCGAATTTAGATTTTAACAAATTCAAGCCATTTTCTTTAATTTTCTTGAAATTTTACTTTCCTACACTTCAAATTATACTTGCTCAAGTACAATTGAACCAACAATTCGAGATTTGGATGAGTGAAACTTAAAGCCTAAAAATCAAAGTTTAGGCCGAATATACCTTAAAGATTTATGTGGATTTTTCTTCAATTAAAGTAAAGTTTTTCATTCCTAAACATTAATTCATACTTAATTAAGCCATAATTAAGCTCTAGAACATCAATCACATGAAACCATCAAAATCTCCAATTTAAGCAATTAGGTCGAATAGTACCTTTTAAGGAACCCTAGGAACCCATCATCCATTATCTATTGTTTCAAATTTATTCCTCTCACATCCACATCAATAATTATTCACTCCAAATAATTTCGATCCAAGCCCATCAATTTACTAACCTAACCCAACAAAAATATTTAGGCATAAAAAAAACTTTATAAACTTTAATTAGTAAGCATATCAATAAATCATGAAATACCCAATATAAACCAATAAACTCATAACTCATATCAAGCCATCAAAACTCACAATATTGACATAAGCACCCATAAAAGCATAATCATCAACTCAAGTAATTCGTATAAATCAAGCACTTAGAAATTCGAATTTATGGTGTCATATAAATCCCTACTTACTTGATGCAAGTTTCCTAGAAAATCTCTTAGTCTTTTTCTTCTCCTTTCCTTCTTTTTTCCTTTCTCTTTTCTTCTTTTGTTTTCCTCTTCTTCTTCGACTTTCTTTTTCTTTTAGTGAACTAAAATCTTCTAAACGCGGTCGGCCATTCCTTAGCTTTCTCTTATATATATTCATCTTTTCTTTCCTTATTAATGAACTTAACAAGTGTCCTAATCTTAGCTTGTCGGGTGTAAAGTAGTAGAAAGAATTAGAAGCTTAGGTGGCGATTTTAATTAAAAGGCATGAGGTGTAAAGTAGTAGAAGAGTTTAGAAGCTTAGGTGGTAAGTTTTACTTAAAGGATATATGACGTGAGTAAAAATTAATCCTAGGGTTATTTTGGTCTAAGAATTTTTGCACCCTCATAATGTTTAGATGATTATTTTTTATTTTTTTTTGCATGGCATCTTCAGATACACGCTAAGGAAAAATAAATTGACAACTAACTAAGCTATCCAAAAATTTATTCCCATAAATAATCACATGAACACCAAATATATTAAAACTACAAAGATATTAATATGTTATACAAATTACACCCATATTTAGTATATAGATGGTCGAGAATTTTCACGGGAATTACATTTCTTCCCCTAAAGAAATTTCATCCTCGAAATTAACTTATCCGAATAATTCCGGATATTTATCTTTAATTTCTTCCTCTCGTTACCATGTCATTTCTTCAAGGTTATGATTCTCCCACGGAACCTTGACTAAGGCAATTTCTTTATTCCTTAGTCGTTTGACTTGTCGATCTAGAATTTTATTTAATTTCGGTTATGTATTATAGGGAACTAGTTAGGATTTTAGGCTTAATAATATAATGAACCTAATCGCTCTTATTTGAAAATAGTAAGTGAGTTATGGGCGTTACGGAGATGGTATCGAGCCTAGGTTTAGTTAACCGGGTAGAGTCTTGAGTGTCACATGAGCTTGAGAATTGGTGTGCTACTCGACAATTAAATTTCGATTCCTTGTTTCTAGTGAATGTGTGTTTATTATGTATTTTTATGTTAGTAGATAGTTATTATCAAAGATTGTTATGAATTGTAAATCTTATCGTTGTAGATGTCGTACCTATTTTGCTTCCCCGAGCTCGCTAGGACACACCGACAGAGGACCACCCTAGCCACTTACTCGGGCTAAACTAAGCGGCCTTACCATGACACCGGACCGGGATCCGGTGGCGCACGTTATTAGAGTGCATGATTTGATCCAGCGAATAGTGTTTGTCGATGCCTCTTTTGTTTGGTATCATAGTGTGAATTTTATGAGGATGATATTGCGTTAAACTCTTTTACTATGGAATCAATTATTATTAGATCGGGTTTGGGAGAATGAGGTGGATCGAAATTCTTATTGAGACTTGATTCGAGCCTTTTTACCGATGCGAGTTAGGCGGACCCTCATTAGATTGTTATATAACTAGGGCCTACCCTTATGTCTCACTCGCGAGATAGTAAACTCCGCATCGGTTAATGGCATTGATTGGTGAAGAGTAGAGTATTCCTTTTCTTACCGAGTCCGATATGTTGACCCGATGGATTATATGTATTACTAAGGAAAAAGTATCGTACGGTATGACATCTTTTGATGTAAATAGAAGTGTCTTTTGGTTATAGGTATGACATAAAAACCTTTGGATGTAAAGTGTTTGTTAATATGAATGTTTGTTTTATACGTTATGCTTGGAAAAAAAGAAAAAGTATATATAATTTTATATATGTACATGGATGCCTTGTATTATGTGTCATATGCAATAAGGAAATGATTTTGATGCCAAGACTAACTCCGAACATAATGTGATGTCCGCGAAGTCAAATCATGCCGCCAAAGAGGAATCCTGTGCGAGAAGAAGGAGAAAGGACCTTTGGTAATAATAATGGGAATCAACAAGGGGCGTTGAATCATATGATGAAGATGATACAACAACAACAACAAGCCCATGTGGAGCGGATGAGGTAGCTCCTAACTATGCAACGAGCGGCCTTGCCCTCGGTATAGAAATGATGCGAGTGGAGAGATTTCAAAAAATGAATCCCCGGGAGTTTACGGGGGTGTTAATCCAATGGTAGCAAAGGAATGAATTAAATCTCTAGAGGCAATATTTAAGTATCTACAATTCACCAATAACAAGCGAGTGTCATGTGCTATTTTTATGTTAACCGGAGACGTCCGCACATGGTGAAAAAGTGTACGATTAATGATAAACTTACCTACTTTAACCTAGGAAGGGTTTAATGAAGTTTTCTACAATAAATACATCATCGCGGATGTGAAGGCTAGGAAGACTCGGGAGTTCTTGGAATTGAAACGGGATGGGATGTCCGTGGGTGAATATATATGGAGATTCGAATAAGGATGTAGATTTGTCCCATTCATTACGGGAGATGAAAATTTTAAAAAGAATCGATTCTTAATAGGGCTATACCCGAGATTTCGCAGTATGGTGCGGATGTCGATCATCAACACTTTTTTAGAAATGGTAAATAAGATAATGTTAACGGATAAAGATAAAAAAAAATTATAAAGGAAGTATAGCAAAAGAGGTAAGTATTTAAGTCGGAAGCCTCTTCATCCAAGCTAGTAAGGTGAGCCCCAACTAGGAATTTTAATCGAGGTGGTGGTTAAGGAAATGCATGAGTCGTCAAACTAGCATCGTACATTCCAAGGTCGATGCTCGGGTAATTAGCCACAATCGATTATGGGTAGCCAACCTCGATGCAATCAATGTGGGAGGTTCCATACGGAGGAGTGCTAACCTAACATGAGGGTTATATTTGTCATAAGCGAGGGCACGTATCCTATAATTGCCCTCGAGTGAGAAAACCGGGATCGGAGAGGGTACCTACTCGGGTTTACATGATGATGCGGGAGGAGGCCAATAAGAGGGATGCAACG